TTCAAGGCCAGCCTGGTCTACATAGTGAGTTCCAGGACAGCTGGGGCTACAGGGAGACCCTGTCTCAAAAAGACCAAAAAAAAAAAAGACTTAAAAAAAATTTTATTATTTTTTTATTTTATGTGTATGTGTGTATTACTTGCATGTAGGTAAATGCTCTAGTTTCCTACAATGCCTGTGGAGGACAGAAGAGGCTGTCGGAACTGGAGTTATGCGCAGTTATTAGCTGCCATGTGGGTGCTGGGATTCGACCTCAGGTCTTCTGAAAGAACATTGTTCTTAACCGCTGAGCCATCTCTCCAGCCCGTTTAATTAGTGTATGTGTGTGTCAGGTATGTGTACATGCATGTTGGTGCTCTAAAAAACCAGAGAGGCATCAGATCACCTGGAGCTAGAGTTGCAGGCACTTGTGAACTGCCTGATGTGGGTGTTGGGAATTGAACTTGGGTCCTCTACAAGAGCAATACAAGCTCTTTACTGATGAGTCATCCCTCCAATCCCCCTCCTTCTGGTCACACACTGTTAAAGGTCTTCTTTAACAGTGAGGGACCAGAAGAGATATTAAGTATGTACTTCTGGTACCTGCAGACTAAAGTAACTCGTGGTCACATTTCACCACTAAATAGTTCCATGTGGTGGCAGGTACCCCAGATGAACACTTTGTTGACCAGGAAAATGGTATACAGACTGCCTATTCCTTTAAACTACAAATATAAGTTTAAAGAACTAAGATAGAATGTGGTCCGTTACATTTTAGCACTATTTGAGATTTTTCCTTTCTTCAAAATTATGAGAAAAAGACAATAAAAAGGCAACTTAGATTAGTAAAAGCATCAAACTTTACTCAAAATCATAAATATACAACTACTAAATACAAATTCAAATGTAAAGTCTAGTTAAACTTAGTTTACCCAAAAGTTACTAGATGTCTCAGAAAGTAGAAATAAATGGTGCTAGAATAGTTCACTCTTTATATGTGAGCTTCATCTGGCAGACAGAGTAATAAACCACTGTTGCTTTGCATACATGGACCTTGGTCAATTTCATTCCCCTCCAGGCACCAGGCAAGCTGTTCTGACAGGCTTAGGGCCCTGAGCTGCCTTTACGTCCATGCTGCTGCTTTGCTGGTGCTGCCTCAGTGCTGCCCACACTGAATTCCAAGTGAGTAAACGAGATCATGAATTACTAACAAAGTTCATACAACCTGCTTCCTGTATCTGTAATAGATTCTTTAATTTCTTATTGGAGTATAAAATCTTATCTTTAATGGGTTTTCATGCCACCTCGTTTATATAGTAAAGGAATAATACGCTCTATAAGACAAATCCCTTCCCCAAATGCTGATGATGAAACCCAGGGTCTGGCTCATTCTACCTGAGCAATCTACACTGAGCTACACCCTTCCAACCTAAGAGTCATTTTTAACACAAAAAAATCAAAGTTATGTTGGATGCTGTTTCTTGGGACAGCCAAGTACCAAAAGTTTCTATGTTAATGTCCCTGTTGGATAGTAAGTACTTTTCTCAGCAGTCTGTTCAATGAGGTTCCAAAAACAATACCTACTACTGGATACTACTTTGGTGAGAGCCCAGAGGACCACTGCCTGCATCTCATCTATGTCTCAAGAATTACACAGCATATGTTCTTACAGGCCAGGCAAGCCCAGAAATTAATTACCTTCCGAAGACTGTGCTTGTCTGTCCTGAGTCTTTTCCTGGGTGCATCTTCAGCATCAACATCTTCCAGAGGGCCCTCTGTCCTTTTTATGTGGGTTCTTTTTTTTGCATTTATGTTACCTTGGAATGGAGGACAGGAGTTTGGAGAAATGCATGGGGAGAACAATCCACAAGCTGCCCCCAATGCCTACCAACACAGCACTGGCATTCAGCATGCAAACCAGAAACACATTTCTAGCAACCTTGTTGCTGTCCAAGGCCCATTTTACATATCAAATCTCTTTGAAACAAAGAACTAGAGACTGAAAATCTTTTACCTAGAGATTATTTCTTGGTATTTGTCATATTTTTATTTTAATACACTATAGCATTAAATTTAAGTATGATTTAGTATTTTCCAAAAATCTTTTACTTTTGGGCATGGTGGTACACACTTGTAATCCCAACACTTGGGAAGGCTAGGGCAAGAGGGTTAGTTCATTACCAGCCTGAGTTGCATAAGGAGACACTTAAAAAAAAAAAAATGTATCTATTTACTGACATTCAAAGACTAACAGAATTTAGGTAAACTTTTAAAAACCTACAACTTGCTACTATGTAGTCTCTTAAAAAACACTTTAAGTAGCCGGGCTTGGTGGCCCACGCCTTTAATCCCAGCACTCTGGAGGCAGAGGCAGGCACCCATGTTGTGCAGTGCCCAAGGAGGAGAGAAGAAGCTGTCGAATCCCCTGGAACTGGAGTTACAGACAGTTGTTAGCTGCCATGTGGGTGCTGGGATTCGAACCCGGGTCTTCTGCAAGAACAATCAGTGTTCTTTACTGCTGAGCCATCTCTCCAGCCTTAATTTCCGTATTTTTAATTAATACTCAAACATGTCACACTTACTAACATTAACATGAGTTAGTTTTTCACAGCCTGCGTGCCCAAACACAAAGCTGGTCACTGTTACAAATCACAAATCTGTCTCCGAGCTTACAATATTAGTCATCTTCACTGTGCCATAGCTCAAACCAAAGTAGAATTGGGGGCTGTTTTGCTTTTGTTTTCTTCTGAGACAGGGGCTCCTGTAGCTCCAGCTGGCCTGGAACTCACGATGTAGACCTGGCTGGCCTTGATCTCAAAGATCCTCCTTAAAGGCATGTGCCACCACACCTGGCCAACCCCTATTTTTTAAACTAAAAGTCTAAGAAGCACCAAAAGCACAGCAATGGTGACAGCATGCTGGTCTCATGCAAGTTCAAACCAGACAAAATCCCAGCATAGACATGAGGAAGGGGGTAAGCTGCTCCAGCCAACCTAAGGGAATTGTGTCAACTGGTGACTGCTGAGAGGGACAGAGACAGTCTCTTTCAAGACTAAGACTCTAGGTAGATTAATCAGGCTCCAGTGGATAGACCCATCTTAAGGACATTTAGGGATACTAATTAGACTCTATAAACCTTATTATATATATTACAGACTACATTAAATCGGGCAGGAGGCCTTAAGGGAGGTGTGACTAGGGAAGGGATCTAAAGATCATCAAATTACATTGCATGTAAATTGCAAAAATTTAATAA